CCTAACTAGCTCCCAGGCTCAAAAAACAGACAAAACAGAAACACATGAAAAGCTTTTTTAAAAAAAGCACCCCAGCTCATTTGTTTGCTAATACTTATGCCCCAAAAGACAGGAGTGGCAGGTGGTGAGAGCAGGTTTGTCACTTGTGCTGGGGAAGCTGCTCTCACCACTGCCACTGGACAGGGGCTCAGGCACCCCCCGCCCCGACAGACTGTTAGCTTTGCGGGACTTAGAGCTGTCCCGAGTGGGTCAAAGTGTGGCGACCGTGTAGGGAAAAGTGCGCCGCCTGCTCCCCGGTGACTTGGTGCTGGAAAGGCCACCACGTGCCCATGCGTATCTGTAAAGGGGAGGTTGAGACCTCGGCTGCTCTGCCTTAGAGCTCAGAGCTAAATACATGCCGCCTGGTTACACAGGGAATGGATTTTAGCCCGCTTTTCATACTCAGGTGGGAGAGCTGGATTCTTTCCTTACCTCCCTGCAGTCTTGGGCAATTCAGATTAATCCACCAAACTCACATCAAGTGCCTACTGCACGTAAGATGCTGGTAGGCTGTAGGGTGGTGTTGGTCCAGGCACGGGCGGTCCGCAGACCACTGGCATGAGAGTACCCAGGATTTCTGAGAAGATGCAGGTTCCTGAACACCAGCCCAACTTGGCAGAGAGTTTCTCAGAGATACTGAGAATCAAGACAGAATTCTAAACAAAATTTTCTAGGCGTTACCCATGTTAACGTGTAAGGCCCATGGTGATCTTTGGTCCCCAGGGTTGGGATAAGTTTAATGCCTCTGTGTCCTCCAGACGACAGAAAATATTGCAGCAGAGAAGGAAATTCCCAGGTGAAGTGGCTCTGTTGCCACGGATCCACGGTGCTGGTGTTGGAGTTGGGGACTGGTGGCAGAGGGTTGGGACGTCAAGTCAAGTGGAGTCAGAGGGTCACTGGCCGCCAGAGTCAGTCCCTGGAAGGGCCCAGCCTTTTCGGGGCGTGGAAGTCTGCCCCAGGAAGTTGTCTCAGCAAGTTTTGTTTGAAATCCATGGAAATTTAGAGAAAAGCTGCAAAAAGTGTACAAAGAACAGTATTTCCAGATTCAGTTGTTAGCATTTGGCCACCGTCTGCATTCTCTCTCCATACATGTGCACATGTGTGCAGGTGCACATGCACACACGCACTAACAAACATGTTTATTTCTGAGCCGGCTGAGAGCAAGTTAAGACGTCATGGCTGTTTCTTCAAACTTTACGTGGCTTGGTAAGACCAGTATAATGATCAAAAATCACACAGCTTGTGTGGATACAATACCATTA